TGCCACGCGCTGCTGATCCTCTGGGGCTTAGGTTGGCCAGGGGGCGGTGACAGGACTGGAGAGCGCGGGGGGAGCCGCCAAGCGGTCTCCGGAGTGTTCCCCACCCTGGCGGTGCTTGGGAACAGTGATTGCTTCCAGTCTTTAGTCTTGGCCTTCGACTGGTTTTGAGATACAGTATGGTGTAGTCCAGCTGGAAGATATCTGTAAGTCTTCAGTCCTTAGTAGTGTGAAAGTAATACTGCTCGGAAAGTGAGCCATCCTGTAGGGAAATGGTAGTTTTATCTTGGCACCCGAGATGGGATAACATCCTAATAGTCTTCGAAGGCACTTCTAATGGCCGGGGTAGGTTTTTTTTTTTTTAAATTAAAAAAATTTTTTTTTCCTCATTGAGTTTATAGGTACATTTTAGGTATACAGTACAGTTAACAATTGGGATCTTGTTACCTTTACATGACAGGTCTTGGTTCTCATTTTTTCCCCTTGTCCCTGCCCTCCCTTCACCTCTCTCCCTATTTACAAAAACTTTATTTCCACTTTTTCATTTTCTCATATTTTTTTCTTTTCCCTTATTACGTTTCCCCTACCCTTCCCACTTTCCCTTCACCTTTAGCCCCTTTCTTCCTATTTCACATTGTCAGTTATCCCATTAGGATCTTATAAATTAAGATACAATTAAGATACAATTAAAGTTTATTCACACCAGAGAAACTATTCGGTATTTACATGTGACATTTATTTCACTTAGGAGTACATCCTCAATATGTATCCATTTTCCTATGAATGAATCTAATTTCTCATTTTTTATGGCTGTGTAGTAACTTTGACATTCTGCAGTTTTCAGGGATCGAATTTTGCTTCCAGCCAAAATGCATTCGTTGGTACCTTTCAAAAATTTTTTTGCTTTGAGTTGTTGTATTTAAATTTGAAATAAATGAAAGTGTAAATAGAATTCTGTGTGTAGAGCCAGGCATAGTTGTGCACGCCTGTGATCCCAGCACTTGGGAGCATCTCTGTGAGACCCTGTCTGAGAAAACAAACAAAAACAGTATAAAGCCGAAAATAATTACCATGTAAACTCAGTGATGTGTGATTTTGTTTTGCTGGGAATTGAACCCCGAACCCTGGGCCTGAAGCATACTAGGCAAGTTCTTAGCGACTGAGCGATGTGACCCTGTGATCTGTTAGGTGAGGAGAAGAGTCTTCAGATAAGTAGACCTTGTGATAGAATTCAGGTCTGGCTCCAGAACGTAGCCTTTTCTCACGCATCTTGCTGGGTCCTGTGCTTCAAAACGTTTCACAATTTCATTTAGAAGAATGAGACTTAGTTTCACCTTTCAATACAGGGATGTCAGTAATTTTACTTTTTTACATTTATCTTTTTCTCTTCACTTTCCACAGCAACTTTTAAAATGTATTCTCATTTTCTTGATTGAATTCAGGATCACAAAGGTTCAGAATTAAAAATGAGGTTTGGGTGCACATGTAGAAAAGATCAGATGGTCCTAATGTGTTTTGTGTGGGTGTGGGGAAAGATTTTTAAATGCCTCTGTCATGTTTGAATTTAAGGTCAGTTTTCCCCAATTCAAGAGTTAATCCACCATTCATAAACTTTTTTCTGACGCTTGATTTTCCCAGAAATAATGGCCTTCCTAAGTATTCATTTAACTCTTTACTGTGGGAGAATTAAAAGAATCATACCACAGCGATATATGTGCACCCATGTTTATAGTGGCACAGTTTGTAATAGCTAATTTTGGAAACAGCCCAATTGCCAATCAGCTGGTGACTGGATAAAGATTTTTGTTTTTAATAAAATGGAGTACTACTCAGCCACAAAGAACGAGAAACTAAAGACATTTATTGCTAAATAGATGCACATTGAGACCATACTCTGAAGTGAAATAAATAGGGCACGTGTAAATACCGAAGTTTCTTTGGTGTGAGAAACAGTGTAAATGAGGATCAAAATGTATAATAATGTGAAATAGGAAGAAAAAGGCTAAAGGAGTAGTAAGTGGGAAAGTTAAGGGAAAAGAAAAAATGTGAGAAAAGAAGGAAAAAAAATGGGAACAAATTTTTTGTAAATAGGGGTGCAGGGGAAGAAGAGGAATGGAGAAAAAACAAGAACCAGGATATACCACGTACAGGTACAAATTCGCGATGATGAATGATTTTAATGTATACTTAACATGCACCAGTGAACTTAATGAAAAGAAAAAAACTGGGAGAAATAATGACTGCTTCTGGAAATCACATTGTTTTTGTAGGGTTTATTTGCCTTTTAGTAGAATTTCAGTAGGAATTTTGTGAACTGGATGAGGCTGGTTGGTGGCTATGTCATTTTTAGGTGTGGAGACCAGAGAGACTAGCTGAGCTGAAGGGCCCACAGGTACTTAAAGAGTTTAGTAGTGAAGTTCGTCTTGACTGTAGGCCTTTGGATGGCTTCTTGTAGTAATAGCGATGACCATATCCTCCACATTTTTGTATCACAGTGTGTAAGCACAGATTTGCATATTAATGAAAAATATACTTGTACCAACTTTTGTTTTTAGACAAGTTCTTGTTGTGTAGTTCATCCTGGCCTTGAACTCACTATTTAGCCCAGGCTGGCCTTGGACTCAAGGACCCTCCTGCCTCAGCCTCCTGAGAGCTGGGATTACAGGCATGCCCCACCATGCCCAACAGCTTTTTTTTTTTTTTTTAATGAGCTACAGTCTCCTTATGTTATCCAGGCTGATCTCAGACTCCTGGGCTCAAGTGATCTTCCTGCCTCAGCCTGCAGAGTAGCTGGCACTACAAGTGCACGCAGCTGTGCCTGGTTCTAGCCTTTTTAAAAACAATGGATGATGACTGGAACTTGGCAGCATAAAAATCATTGCTTCTGGCATTTGAATGTCAAAATACCTGTGTAAGAATGGCCTGTTACTAATTAAGGAATTGCACGGTATTAGAGTATTCAATTTACGCTGTATGTTACCCTTTTTGTAATAGTCCACATGATGCTGCCTTTCATATGAACCTTTTTTTGAGGGGGAGCAGGTACTGTATCAACTCAGGACCTTGTGTTTGCCAGGCAGGTGCAGTGCCACCAAGCTAAATCCCTGGCCCCCTTGTGAACATTTGTGTAGTATACTGTAGTTACATGCTAAAAAGGATCTTTCACATTTCCTAGTTTTGGTTTCATAACTTTTGGGGGTGTACTAGAGATCGAACTCGGGACCTTGCACTTGCAAGGCAGGCGGTGGAACCACTGAGCTAAATCCCCGGCCTGGTTTCATAACTTTTTAGAGAAATGGTATAGATTTGGTCATACGAGTAGTATAGGAAGTAATTTTAGAGTGATACTGATATTGTTTTGTTTTAACCTTGGCCGCTGCCACACCATTTACACACTTAGCTTGAATGGGTTAGTGTTCTCATTGTATTTCATCCATGCTCAGATTTCCTGTCAGGTTAGAAGACAGTCATTTAAATATCTAGGGAGTTTGGGATAGGAATATATTGTTAGGATGTGTTCCGGTCAGGAAACAGTGTATAGCGGGGAGTTGATTGTTCTTGAATAATTTCGTGGTTTTTTTCCTTCCTATTAGGAAGTATTTGATGATGCATCACCCGGGAAGCAAAAAGAAATCCAAGAACCAGATCCTACCTATGAAGAAAAAATGGTATGTTTAGATGGCGAGGACAGTCTATAATGAAGCTTTTTGATAATTGTTTTAAGGTGTGTTTGAAATATTTATGATATGGGATAGTGTAATTTTTGTATCTTACTTACCTATATAAAGCAGTAGAAGTAGTTGATGAATCTACAAATATGATATAATTCTGTTGACACTTTTAAGATTTTAGCATTAAGGTGAAAACCAGAGTAGGTATTCTGTCTGTGTGTTCTTCATATGTTTAGAATCACATTCTGCAAAGAATGATCCATTCTCCTTGCTCACATTATTCTTACAGGGCTGGGTGTCCTGTAATCCCAGCACTTGGGAGGCTGAGGCAGGAGGATCGCTGTGAGTTCGAGACGAGCCTGGGCTACATAGTGAGTTCTGGGCCAGTATCAACAACATAGTGAGACTCTGTCTCAACCCCCCCCCAAAAAAATTCACATTCTTATTTATTATAAGTCAGACAGTGACAGGAACAGTGTCCTCCTGATCTCCCCGTGATTAGCTCCCGGTGATATATGGTGCTTTGATCTTTACACTTTTACATGGTTTTTTTTTTTTTTTTTGGTACTGGGGATTGAACTCAGGACCTCGAGCTTCCCAGGCAGGCGCTGTACAGCTGAGCTAACCTAGCCCTATACAGATATATTTTTTTATGTTTTGGGGTACTAGGGATCAAACTCAGGACCTTTTGCTTGAGATGCAGGCGATGGCATCACTGAGGTAAATCCCCAGCTTACAGATTTTTTTTTTTTTTTTTTGAGACAGGGTCTCATGTAGTTCAGATTGCCCTGGAACTCACTGTGTAGCCTGGAACTCACTTGCAGCAATCCTCCTGCCTCAGCCTCCTGAGTGCTGGGATTACAGGCGTGGACTACCACGCCCGGTTTTACAGATCCTTTTTGAAAGGTACTTTTCCTCCTCCTTTCAAATTCCTCAAATACTTTCTATCTCTTGAATAGATTAAAAATCCTAACATGATAGGTGCACACAAATATGTAATTTACGTATAATGTTGCCATATAGGTAACACATGATTTTAGATACCATGTATTTTTCTATATATAAATGCCTGTTTTGTTGTCAAACTGTTTAAAGAGAATATACTTGGAGGTTAACCTTTTTAAAAAGAGTACTACTTTAAAGTGAATACAGTTTTTTTCCCTCCTGCATACTGGGGATTGAACCCAGGGCCATCACACTGAGCTGTGTCCACAGCCCATTTTATTTTTCATTTTCGGGAGTGTGTCACTGAGTGGCCCAGCGTGGGCTGAACTTTGCATCCTTTTACCTCAGCCTTCCAAGTGCTGGGATCATAGGCGTGTGCCACCGCAGTAAGGCACCTAACGCAGTATTTATTGCTCAGCAGTTTCATTCAGCTATTCCAAAACTGAACCACTCTGACCATCTTTTTATTCCATTTCTGTTATACCCTTTTTGTGTGTCTTTTTCCACAGAAAAATTACAGGCCCATCTCTGTGTAGCTTCTGCTGTCCTGTGTCATTTCCTTCTGTCCCAAGGAGGGTAGTCCAAAATTATTCATTGTCATTTCCATTGGATTGTGATTGATTTCTTAGAGTCTGTTAACAGTTTTTTCTCCTTCACATTCTTTTTAACCTTTTAGTATCTCAGATGATTTTTATTTAAATCTTACTCCCTCAAGCAACAAAGTACCTGTTTTTACCTCTGATAAAAGCAATGACAATGATTTAAAATTTTGAATGCTCTAGAAAAGCATTTACTTGAGTATCTTGATGTCAAAACATAATTATGACAATTGAGTAGACTGTTTTTTTTTTCCTTCTTGGTACCAGGGATGGAACTCTGGACCTTGTGCTTGCGAGGCAGATGTGGTACTGTTGAGCATTGAGTAGTCTTATTTTCCAGCCCTAACAACTAGTTGTATAGGCTTTTATTATTTTGTATTAAATTTGTACTTATATGTAATATATCTCAGTTCAGTACTTTTAAAACAATTTACAATTTTTGAAAAAAAACTGCTATGGCTTAGGGTCCTACTAGGGAGGAGAATGTCAACAGCTTTGCAGAACTGGTTGCTTTGTGTGTGGGGTAGTACCGGAGGGTAAGCACAGGGCCTTTGCACCGAGCTACATCCCTACTTCCTTTAAAAAAAAAAAAAAAGAATAGTCTTGCTGAATTACTTAGGCTGTGGCTCTAACTTGTGATTTTCTTGCCTCTGGCCCCCAGAATGCTGGGAATACAAGCATGTATCATTTTGCCTGGATTTATGATAGCAAGCTGGGCTTCAGTTTTTGCAGTAGTGTGATTTAAAAAAAAAAAAAATTAGAAAAATATAGCTCTTAAAGAGCAAGGCTTGGTGGCGCACACCTGTAATCCCAGCATTCAGGCAGCTGAGGCAGGATGATCACCATGAGTTAGAGGCCAACCTGAGCTACATAACAATACCCTGTCTCAAAAAACTCAAATAAACAAATTTAAAAAAATGCATACACACACACACATTATAGATATGTATATCTCCTATAATCTACAGTGTTGACTTTGGTAAAATGTCTTTTTGTAATTTTCTAGGACTTAACATTTAAACATTTATTGGCAGCAGTGTTGACTGGTTTCTCTGTTTCTCGAGGTTTTTTAGTCTTGTCATCTGTTTAACTGAGCTATCATTGTGTCTGTAAAAGTCTGTTGCCTAAAGGCTTGAATGCCAAACATTTTTGTTTGGTACCAGAGGTTGAACTCAGGCCCTTGTGCTTGGGAGGCAGGCAGCAGAACCACTGAGCTAAATCCCCATACCGAGATGTCATTACTTTTGATTGTTTGATACTTTTTTGGTACCAGGGATTGAACTCAAGACCTTGTGGAAGGTGGCGGAACCAATGAGCCAATTCCCCGCCTTAGATGTCATTACTTTTTGAAAACTTGTTTTCAAGGACCTTTTTTATTCAGATTCCTCTATTTTCTTGGTGGGATAATTGGGAAAATTCACAACATTGTTTAGGGGCAGATGGCAGATATGAGAGGAAGGAAGTGTTAAATTACGTTGGGCTATTGAATATTTCATGAACTTAAAAATAGTTTCTAAGCCTGATCCCCTTTTAAAATTTGGTATTAGTCTGATGAATGACTAGTCCATTTTTTCCTGTATTTCACTTTAATTACATAATTTCTTTGTTTAAATATTTTTTGGTCATTTTTATTGTAAAAAATTTATATTATTTTAAGCTTGGAATTTATTGAGTTTAGTGTGCATGCGTGTGTGTGTGTGTTTGTGTGTGTGAATGTGTATATATATATATACACACATACAGTCTTTTAAACACCACTACAATAGTTTCCATCACCTGAAAAGTCTGCTTCTGCCCTTTGTAGTTATTCCCCCCATCCCGCCACTTCTGATTTGCTTTCTGTGTAGCTTTTTGTACACAACTGCTAGCCGTGTACCTTCCAGTTTGGAGTCTTAGTTGGCAAAGTGCTTTTGAGACTCATCTGTTTTGTTACAAGTTTCAATATTTTGTTCCTTTTTATTGCTGAATTCATATGGAAGCATGTTGAAGCTGATTGCTGAAGTTTTGATGATTGTGTTTTCAACTTTTTGCAGCAAACCGATCGAGCAAATAGATTTGAGTATTTATTAAAGCAGACAGAGCTGTTTGCACATTTCATTCAGCCTGCTGCTCAAAAGACTCCAACCTCACCTTTGAAGATGAAACCTGGGCGCCCACGAATAAAAAAGGATGAGAAACAGAACTTGCTCTCAGTTGGCGAGTGAGTAATAATTTATACTTCATTCAGCCAAACTTACTTTTGGTAGTCTTCAAAAGAGACAAAATCACTTCATCTTTAAAAACATTGATATTATCTCAAGGGCCGCAGTGGGTTTGCAGGGTGTAGTTGTAGGTATGAATTTAGTATTATGTACAGTGCTATAAAGTGTCAAGGTGTATGCCATCCTTGGGTGGTTTTTGAAAATAACTTGGGTTGGATTTATAAGTTCTTGAGAATTGTCCTGCTGGTTGGGTAATTAAGGTATTTAATTGATAGATTTAGGGCAGTTTCAGCTCCCTGGAAAGGCTATAATTCCTAATGTGAAAATGAAGTCAGTAACACCTGAGATTGTGTAAAATGTGACATTATGAGCTGACCAATGTTATAGTCACTGCAAGGTTTCAAGGGTGTAACCAGCTGTTTTCCAAAGCAGATGAAAATATTTGTTGCATATGCACAATGGGAAGCTTCAGAATTGGGAAATAAGTGGTTTTACTCATCTCATCCCCTAAGCTACACATTTGGCAATACTATTTAGTGTTTTTTTGTTTTTTGGGGGGACCAGGGATTGAATTACTGTTTAGTTTTTTAGGGGATCATTCTGAATCCGGACATGGGTATGTGTGTATTTATTTATTTATTGGCACTGAGGATTGAACCCAGTACCACACTAAAATAAATCCCCTGCTATTTTTTAGTTTTTAATTTTGAGCCTGGATCTCACTAAATTTCTAAAATGCCTAGACTGGGCTCAGACTTTATTATTCTGTCTCATCTTCCTAAAGTGCTAAAGTGTGGGGCTTTATCAACTTGTAGTTAGTACACAGTTATTACTGTATTTTAACAATAATTTTACATATATTGTAGATTAACTATGTAAAATATTTCATATTAATATTTTATTAGTGATTGCGGCTATTTACTTTTTTGGCTGTAGATTAACCATGTAAAATATTTCAGATTAAAGTTTATTAGTGATTCCTGATGTTTACTTTTTTGGCTACAAATGTAGCCTGTTAGAAAAATTATTATAGAATCTTGGTCAGAATCTTGGTCAGCCGCTTGAATGTTACATTGAAATAGTAGCTGGTAGTGTTAAACTCGATCATTTAAATCAGTTAATTTTCATTTTGACAGTTACCGACACCGTAGAACAGAGCAAGAGGAGGACGAAGAACTGTTAACAGAAAGCTCCAAAGCAACCAATATTTGCACTCGATTTGAAGACTCTCCATCATGTATGTTAAACACACCTAATTACTTGATTTGTAAAACATCCCCTTTGAAATATCTTCTGTTAGAGTTTTGGACTTGTGTTTGTTACAATTTGATGGAGATGATACTGTTACCTGATGGCGGTGCTGTATTTCAAAGATGTGTAAAATGCCAAGGGATTTATTAGCACATATAAAACTGAGACTCATTTTGTCTTACACTGTATTTGTCCCAGATAAGGAAACTGGTGTTTAAAAACAAAACAAACTTTGGAAAGAATTTTGCTTACTCATCTGATGTTTTTGTACGTTTTAAGATTTTATGAAATTTATTTAGCATATTTAGCAGGGTTTAAGTTTTACTTATGTAATGTCTGATGGCATAGAGATTTTCCTAAGCTCCCTTTTATCCCTGGATGGTTGATTTGTGAGAACTCTTAGCTAATTGAACCTGACCTGGGCTTACATATGATTAGACATTTGGCCATCGGTTTAAGGCATACACCTTCAGGGTCCTTCCCCTGACCCCCAGGGCCCAATTTCCATCTCTTCAAATGAGGCAGGAGTCCAGAGCCACGTATGTGGTATAGTGCAAGGGGAAATTTGAGTTCTTTCTTACATTCTTACATTGTAACTAGTTTCCCTGCATTAGTTGGCTTTTCATCCTTAAGCACTGATTTTGTGGGGCAAGGGGATAAGTACTATGTGTATGAGACGTTCCTATTTATATCTCTGTTTTTATCAGGAAAAACCTCTGGAGAGTCTGTCTCATTCTTTTTTTTTTGGATACTGGAGATTGAACTCGGGACCTTGCGTTTGTGAAGCAGGTGGTGATACCACTGAGCTAAATCCCCAGCCCTTCTGTTTTATTCTTTAGAAAAGATGAAAATGCTGCATTAGGAACATTGGTGGCAATACTAAAAATTGAAGAAGACTGAGTTTCCAGGACCAGGGTGTAACAGGAAGTGAGTGATTTGGATGAATACTCCAATGTATATTGTCATATTTGCTGCAGTTGGTTATCTTCCGTAACTACTCCTATTCCATTCCAAACATTAACAGCTACCTCTGGTGACTTAGAACTTGTAGAATTCCCACAGGAAAGAATTTCCTGAAAAAGAAAGCAAAATCAGTAGACACAGGGAGGTCCCACTTAAATATGGAGTATCAGATAAAAGGGGAGTGCCTTCTCTCATCTGAAAATGTGTGCTGTGTTTTCTTTTGCTCTTAGGTATGAAATGGGTAAATAGAAAATCAGGCCCTTGGTTATTAGGTTGAAGAAGTGCTGTCTTTAAAATGTTTACTGTGAGCCAGGGATTTAGCTCAGTGTTTCTGCCACCTGCCTCGCAAGGTCCCAAGTTCGATCCCTGGTACCAAAACAAAAGGCAAAAAAATTGTACATTATTAAAATGTTCACTGTGTATTCTCTTTTGTTCTTAGATGTGAAATGGGGTAAACTGAGGGATTATCAGGTCCGAGGATTGAATTGGCTCATTTCTTTGTATGAGAATGGTATCAATGGTATCCTTGCAGATGAAATGGTATGTATTTGGTAGTTTTTTTGAGGATCATATTTTGTAGCTAAAGATATACATTAAATTTGTAGAAGTTAAGATAGTTAACATAGTTTTATTGACTATAAATACAATCTAGAACTGTTTCCAGCTAATTTTCCTTCTTACTGCTAGATGCTATTTTAGTTGTATAAATGAGCACTTCTCTTATGGAATTTTCATCTGTGAAAGTAGAATAAATTTCAAAGCAGTATCTTTTGAAAAACTTTAAATTTCTGTAGTGTAGAAGTAGTTTGAAGTGGGCGTGGTGGTACACGCCTGTAATCCTAGTGCACTTGAGGCCGAGGCAGAGTATCTGTCAGTTCCAGGCCAGCCTGAGCTACAT